CAAATTAAAGAAACCTTGGGACATTTTTTTGACAATCTTTTTTCCGTGCATCCCCAGCAGCTAGGCCTTTTCAACTTGTTCAGGGCCCTGGACCTCCTTGTCTAAGGTGAGAAACATGTCTAATTCAAGAGAATACTCAAAGTATGTGTGTGTCAATATTTTGAAGTATTTATGCATTCAAGTGTATGTAAATTCAAGATATTGGTAACAGTGGGGCCACCGCATTGGGGCAGGGGGAATAGAGACCTCTTTTTCACTGCACATCTGGAAGAGACACCAGGGGTTAGCTCCCACACACGTTCCAATCCAGTTTTACCTTTGCCTTCCTCACTGTAGACCTAAGAAGCTGAAACTCACCTTATTAATTCTGCCCAGTGAGATGTTGGTAGAACACCAGCATGGAATGCTAACACAATACTTGTAGGTCAAGCAGCCTTGGGGACAAAATCCGTATACTAAGGGTGACAAGGCAGGAGAAAACAGGTTCCTTGAGTAGTCAGAAGACTTATGTTACTGCTGGAATCCTAATTATGGGAAAAACATAACCCTCCCAACATACTGAACCTTTAGCATATCAGAAGTGATGCAAAACTGAAAATAATCTTAGCATTTGGTAGATTTTTTTATTTTTATTTTTTGCCTTTCAAAGTTTGGATCAAGTACATGTATTACCTATTGAAAAAAATGTAGAAAACAGTGCAAAGCATGTGAAGTCTTTCTTACTTTCTTTTAAAAAAAAGTTTAAGAAATTTCTGGCTTTTAAGAAATGTTGGCTTTTTCAGTACCTGAATTTTTAGATTATCAAAACATTATTCTAATCTTTTTCTTGAGCACAGCTACAATGTAGGGTAGCAGCCAATAAATTAGTGACACACTAGAAAACCCTGGGGCCACCTGGGCCTCTTTGCCAGAAGAGCTACCTTCATTTTATAATCCTTGGACCTCAGAGGTAGAGTGGGAAGTCTGGTGGGAAGAGTTCTGTAAACACCAACTTCTCAGACAATTTTCATTTCATTGAAGATGGCATAACATACATATACTGGCATCCAGAATATTCTGAGTTACTGGCCACAAATGTGTCCTGTCATTTACCAAGGAGCTAAGGGATTCTTGATTTATTTTGAGCTCTTTGATACAATGTCCCTTAGTGGTACCTAGAAGAAAAAATTACAAAATTAAGATAACATTCTTAGCTGGAAACAACATAAGTCACTCTAAGTTAGAATAAGCAGAGAAAGGATATATTTACCAGCTGACTACTAGCTCAAAATACAAATGAAAAAGCCATCCATTCCTCAAGATACCTCACTTCCATTAACTATAAATGTGAAATCAAGCAACTAGTGTAATTTATGGAAGGGTGTGAGAGTCAAGCTTGGAAGCTACACAGTCATGAAACACTGCAGAATTACACCACAGGTGTGCACTAGGGGACACCTAGACCCCCCACTACTGGGCACAGATACCATAGTGTGCCCTGCTTTCCCTGGGCACTGGCATTCCAGCTTAATCCTCTCCATGGCTGCCTTGAAAACTACCCATCTTCTCGTTTTTTTCAGAATGCAGTCTGCGAAGTGCTTGCTTCTTGTCACCTCTAACTGCTGAAACAGAGTAGCTGAGGTTCATTCTCAATGAAGTCTGGGTCAGGGGAATATGTCGTAGCTGCAAGAAATGCTGGGAAGCAGTGCTGGGGAGGTGCAGACTCATAAGGGTGGAAATGCCCTAATTTAGGAAGGGTGTTCAGAGGCTGTGAGGATCACCCAGAAAGCACGACAAATGACAAATATCTGTGAAAGCTGGCAAATATTGTTTAGAAATCCCTTCTGTCTTTGGTGTAGCTTCTTTCAAACTTAGTGTCCCCTTCCCATTATAGTAACATTCTAGCTTCTAAGATCCTTCTGAGTTGGTGAATTCTCGCTGGGAGTTTTAAGAGACATTTTCCCTCATTATGACTATCTCTGCCTTAATAAGCTTCTCCCACTGATGCTGCTGGGGGTGTCAATTCTGTGAGGCTTGATGGGTAAGAGAGTGAGAACCATTGCTCTGAGGTGATGAGGGTGGAGTGGAGTGTGGTGGATTCGGGGGAGAAGATGGAAGATGGGAGGTCTGGAGACTAACTGCCAAGGCCACAGTGTGGCAACAAGGGGGGCTCCTCCAGGACAGGGAAGGGCTAGTGTGGTTAAAGCTTGGAGAGCAGACATTCAGTTCTACATGTGGTCATTGCAGTGGGTGAGGTGGGACTGAATGCTGATGAGCCTTGCTGGCCAGGAAAAGGAGTTTGGATTATACAAGAAATGAAATTGCAAGATTTAGGAAGGTTACTGTATGGAGCGTGGGATGTAGAGAAGACTTGGAATAGTTTGGAAGCAGGAAGACCAGACAGGATCTGTTGGAACTCATGCTGATTGTCATAATGTTTTACCGTCCAGCTCACATGTCTCTTGCCTTTAGAAGCCTTCTGGGTGTCCTCAGGCCAGTCCACGTTCCCTTAGACAGACAAGCCGTTTATACTGCTTTCTCTCCCACTAGACTGAGTTCCTGGAGGGTCTCCTGGGTGGGCCCTAGCCCTGTGCTGCCATGATCACTCCTCTGTAGAGGAAATGGGGTGCAGGGAGAGCCTTGGAAGCTTCTGTCTGTACAGGCTGTCCTGCCAGCGAACAGAGGGCTGTCTGGGGAATGACTGTTTGACTTTCTATTCCTGGCAATATAAGTTCAGATGTTTATTGGAGTTTGAAGCTGGGATGAAAGCATTTCTATTCATGCAGCTAGAACGGGTGAGGCTTTTTTTTGTAAATGGAGGGCCCACAGCAAACTTTGGGTTACTTGGCCGGGGAAAGGAATGTCCTGTGAGAAGCAAGATGAAACAGAGTCAGGCGCACCTGGACGAGGAGGAAAGGCAGAGCCCAGGGTCCCCACCGCTGGGACCCGGGCACAGGCCCGAGGCGCCGGGGTCAGGCCTGGCGGCGGGGGACGGAGGGAGGAGGGTCGGGCAGGCTGCGGCCTCGGACAGGGCCCTCGGGGCGCACCGGCGAGGGCACACGTTCCGAGCGGGCAGCGCCCGGGCGGGAGGCACCCGACCGAGCCCACCCAGGCGGGCCGCCCGGCCCAGACACTCCGGGGCTCCGCTGGAATGCGCGGCCGCAGCTCCTGCGCGCCAGGGCCCGGCTCCCGGCCTGCAGTCCGCGCTCCCGGCCGCGGGGCGGTGCGGGGCGGTGCTGGGCGGTGCTGGACTGGGAGGGGCGGGGCGGCCCAGGCCGCGGGACCTTTAAATTGGCCGCCCTGGGCACCGGCACAGGTCCGCCACCCCGTCGAGCGCCCGCCGCGCCGCCATGCCGCGCCGCCTGCCGGGCCTGCTGCTGCTCTGGCCGCTGCTGCTGCTGCTGCTGCTGCTGCCGGCCGCCGCCCCGGGGCCGCTGGCCCGCCCGGGCTCGCGCAGGTTGGGGCACCGCGGCCCCGGGGGCAGCCCCGGCCGCAGCCCCGCTCCGGCCGCCCCGACCCGCGCGCCTTTTTCAGGGGTCGGCCGGCCCGGCGGGGCCCGCGGCGCAGGTACGGCCCGGACCCCAGCCGAGGGGGGCGGGAGTGGGCACCGCGGAGGGACAGGCGGGCGGGAGCGGGGAGGGCTGGGTGGGCAGAGGGACCCGGGCTGCGAAGGAGGGCGAGAAGCCCGGCCGTCTGCCAGGGCTTCCCTCCGTCCCGCCAGAGCCAGCCCCCGAGGCAAGGGAAAGAATCCCCCCTCCATGGATCTTGTGGGGAAACTGAGGTCCAGTGCAGGAAGGGAGAAGCCCGAGGTCCCTCATGGTCAGGGCCAGAACGTGGGTCTCCCGAAGCTCAAACTGCAGCCTCTCCCTTCTGGATTTGGGAATTTTGGCGGGGATCAGAGTGTGGGAACACCCAGCGCATCCCAGCTCTGCGGCCCGGTCCCTGCCCTGGGTTCAGGAGAACAAACCTTCCTCAGATGCTGCTTTTAGTTCTCGGGATATCGCTCCGTCTCTGTGGCCCCAGAGCAGCGCGGACCTTTTCTCCCTTTCCACAGCGCTCAAGCTGCCCCAGCCCAGTCCATGATCTGGGCCAAAATTCAGACTGGAAGGTCCGGGATAGGGGTGTGAGGCTAGGAAAGAAACCGGAGTTGCTGCCTAAATGGCCTGGACCTGTCCTGTAACCATTCTGGCCCCAGTCTCTGTTCTCCCGCCCCTGACCGGATGTTCTGCTGAAATGATAGGGCTCCAGCCCCAGTCTGTGCTCCCTCAGATGCTCAAACACCCAGGACACTTTCTGTGTCAGTAGTAGTTGGTTCCTGCGGCAGAGCAAAGCTCCTAGAGCAGCAGAGCTGGAAGATCATCTGACACATCCCCTAACGGCACAAGTGGAAACCGGGGCTTATCAAAGTGACCCAGCAAATCAGCGTCAGAGCCTAGAAAAACTCAGCTAGGGTCTTTTCACTGCTATAACTTACCATACGTTATATATAAGATTTTTTATCTTTATGTCTTCACTACCAAAACATCAGTTTTGGCAAAGAGAGGCTGCACCAAACCATTTTCTGGGTACCAGTCTTATCTGGCGGGTGATGTTTTGTGCCTTGGGTTGATTTGTATTTTCTTTCTCCTACCGCACTTTTCTGGGTATTGTTGAGAAATAGTGCAAGGGATTCTTTCTTGCATCAGCCCCAGCCAGCTGGATTTGAAATGGCAACAGCACTGTCCTTGAGCCAGGGAGTACCAGGGCTCACAAGGGTTAAATTAAGCCAGAAGACAGCTGGTTGCACCAAGTCAGGAATGAGGGGAAAGACTTCTAAAAGTTAATAGTATCTCTAGTCCCACCTGTCTTCCTTGGTGATGGGACTGGCAGAGGAAGGAGGGATTCTGACACGGTCTGGTCATGTTCCCCTTAAGCAACACCGAATCTTTATTACCTAGAATCCAAACTGATCTCGAACGTGATAATCCTTTACCAAACATCACATTCCACTCTTAGTTCTCTCCTTTGTGCTATCAGAAATTGCTATGCTTTGCTATGGGCTTTTATTTCTAGCCGGACTATCAGAGATGGGCAATATTGTGCATATGGAAACATTTTTAGGAAATTCAGATTCTCACTTTCTTTGTTTCTGAGAATCAAAATGCTGCTATGTAGTACAGGGGAGTGAGATTCAAAAGCAATTAATGATGTTGCTGAAGGTCCAAATAAGGAAGTAACCACATGCCGTCTGAGTCAAGCCCCCATATTAGTTTTCTATTGCTGCTGTAATAAATCAGCATGAACTTAGTGACTTAAAAATAACACACATGTATTATCTAAAAGTTTTGTAGATCCAAAGTCTGACAGTGGTCTCACTGGGCTAAAATTAACATGTCACTGGGCTGTATCCCTTCTGGAAGGATCTAGGGGGGAATCAGCTTCCTTGTCTTTTTCAGCTTGTGGAGGCTTCTTCATTCCTTGGCTCATGGCCTTGTCCCTCTACTTTCAAAGCCACCAAAGGCAGGTCAAGTCCTTCTCAGAGCTCATTCTTCAGATCACCTCTTGGGCCTCCCTCTTCCACTTCTACGGCCTTTGTAATTGCATTGGACCCATTCGGATAATTCAGGAGAACCTCCCCATCTCAAGGTCTTTACCTTAATCACACCTGCGAAGTTTCTTTTGCCAAAGTAACATACTTACAGGTTCTAGGGATTAGGAGGTGGACATCTTTCTTGGAAGGGGGACTATTCTGCCCACCACACCCCTGTAACCACAAAGGATACCATGTGAAGAATCAAGCAGGGAAGGAAGGAAGGAACTGTGCAGGTTTACTTATAAGAACATTACCTTGGTATTAGTAAGGACACCGTTTGGGTGTTAGTGAAAGCATTGTGAAATACGGGGTACATATCATTATGTATTTTTTACTTTTACCCCAATTATGCAAAAATACCTATGTATATCTCCAGGAGGAATTCTCAATATGGTTTTCTTCCACACTCCTGATGCATGGTGATCAAGGGGTAAAATGAAATTCGGAGTTGTTAAAAAAAAAAAAAGAATTCCTTTTGTCTTAACTGAATAGGTAACATACAGCATATTTCCGGGTAGTGGCTCAGTCAACAAGCAGGATGTTTACTAGGTGCATGAGATAATGTTGATTTCCATGGTGGAAAATGTTGCTTCAGAGAGGCAACCATGCAGTGACAAGCTCCTTTGGCCTGGGAGTCAGGAAACTGGAGTCCAATCCATGCTCTGTTTTTCAGCTCTTATATCTCCCAGAACCTCAGGTTTCTTATCTGTAAAATGAGTACAGAAACAACCTCTGCACGTTTGACTTCACAGGATTGTTGTGTTGGTACTCTGTGATCTCTAAAGGGTTATGGAAAGGATGTTACTTATTTTCTTAATTGAATGTCTCCAGGAAGCAGGATACAACCAAGAATATAAATTCCAGTCTCTAAAGAAAACTATATAGAGGCATAATTGCTATTGCAGGTGGAGCTCTTTTTGTCAGAAACTGCCTAGCCTAGGAGTTTGTTTTGAAGTTTGTTTTGAATCTGTCTTTTTCTTCTACTCACTGAATAAATTGCCTTCTTAGAATGGCATCAACTTCCAGCCCCCTATGAGGAAAGGAAGATCCTGATTGATGCTTCACGCTCATATGATGAGTGTGTGTGTTGGGAGAGGAGGGGGAAAGACTTGAAAAAGAATTTTTATAACTGCCTTTCTCTTAGCCAGTTCTGACTGTGACTTTTGGACTTGATTTTGGTGGCCAGAAGAGGGAAAAGTGTGGAACAAGATTAGCGGAAAATGGATATGAAGGGAGAGTTGAAAACAAAAATGTATTGTGTTTCTACAATGTGCCAGGTATTTTTGTGTAGGAAAGATGCAAGTTCCTGGAGGGCAGGGTATCTGGCTTATTTGCTTTGTAGTCCTAGGGCATCATACATGGTGGCCCCCCAAAAAAATCAGGTGACTGAAAAAATGAAAAAGAGGTGACTAGAGAGTTTGATGGGGGCTGTAGGATAGATACCAGGTGGAAATCTCTGCTTCTTACAACAGGACACACTCACCAAGTCAGAAGTGCAATAAACGTGGGTCAGGTTAAGTTGTCACTCCTCTTTCCACAGTCAATTTGCTCAGGCCAGCTGGGCCTCCCAAGTTCACTAAACATGAGTGAATGACAAGATGGAGGGAGAATTTAAGGTCTCTCTGGGGTAGTTTTCACCCACTTGGAAGTTGGGTAAAAGAAAGAAGCCACCAGAAGAGCAGCAGTGTGCCTCGCCTCAAACTGCCGTTGCCTGAGGAGCCCGTGAGGCCTGGGCAGGGTGGTGTGTGGGAAGGCTGCCCTGAATTCACCTTCCACACTGTTCAGGGACACTGTGTCCTGTTGCTCAGATGGCCAAGGGGCCCCAGAAAGGTGTGGAATCTCATTCCTGGGAGTCAAGAGGAGCCTTGGGAGCAAAACTTTAAGCAGACGGATGAGGTTCTAAGTGAAATTTCAGGGCTCAGCCTGCCTATAGTTGAGCTCTTTGGGAAAACTTCACACCTCTTTGTGAATTCTCACTGGGGAGTCCTGAAGGCCCCCACACTGTCTACATTCAAAGGGAGAGTGGTCTTGGGGAAGATAGCAGACAGTCGGGTATTTGGGGTTAGGGGCTGCTGCCATGCCTGGCCTCCAATCCCAGAGTTCCCAAGGTGTGAGGACTGCCCCATTTCTGATTGTGGCCAGATCATTGCTTAGTCATTTCTGTTCCCCACACCCTTCTTTGTAGGTTTTTGCAAGAGCAGACCCTTGGACTTGGTGTTTATCATCGATAGCTCTCGTAGTGTACGACCCCTGGAATTCACCAAAGTGAAAACCTTTGTCTCCCGGATAATTGACACCCTGGACATTGGGGCGGCAGACACACGGGTGGCAGTGGTGAACTATGCCAGCACTGTGAAGATTGAGTTCCACCTCCAGGCCCACTCAGATAAGCAGTCCCTGAAACAGGCTGTGGCAAGGATCACACCATTGTCTACAGGAACCATGTCGGGTCTGGCCATCCAGACAGCGATGGATGAAGCCTTCACCATGGAGGCTGGAGCTCGGGGGCCCACTTTCAACATCCCTAAGGTGGCTATCATTGTGACAGATGGGAGGCCCCAGGACCAGGTGAACGAAGTGGCAGCTCGGGCCCGAGCATCTGGCATTGAGCTCTATGCTGTGGGAGTGGACCGGGCAGACATGGAGTCCCTCAAGTTGATTGCCAGTGAGCCCCTAGATGAGCATGTTTTCTACGTGGAGACCTATGGGGTCATTGAGAAACTTTCCTCTAGATTCCAGGAAACCTTTTGCGGTAAGTGTTTGCTTCCAACAAGAAAGGATGTTATATTCAGACATTATGCATCCAAAGAAAAAGTTTATTTTCTCTCTTTTTTTTCTTTTAGTGGAGATTTTATGGCAAACTTAAATTTAAGTAATGCTTTTTTTTGTGATTTCTACCAACTTAAACACACTTTGATGGTTTAGGAATATAGAGCTGCCTTATATATAGCTTGGTTTGCTCATAAAATCTCATGTTTGCATTAGAAATGTGAAGGTCTGGAAAAATCCAGGATAAATGATCCTCCTGTTCCCTGATGGGGTAAGAAAAAAAAAATTTAAGACTCAGACACCTCTCTTCTCCCTTCTGCCCCCCAATTACATTTTTTCTAGATTTTTTTTTTAGTTTTACCATCTGTAGATTTAACAGAACTCCGTTTGTTTTCCCAAAGAAGACAGGGAGCAGCATCTGTCCAGGGAAGGATCAACTGGCCTGTCTCCCCTTGTTGCTAAGTCCGAGTGTGCATTCAGGGACTACCTGGGTTTTCAGATTTGATGCTTTCTCTGATTAGTCTTTGGAGGGACAGGACTAAGGGTCAGGAAGACTGGGATTTCAACCCACTTGTGAAATAACATGAAGCAGATTAAAAAAAAATCCTTCTGTTTCTGTCTTACTTCTTTCTTCCTTTAGAATAGAGCTTGACTATGACATGCTAATATAACTGGCATTTTAACACGGATCAGCCAAATCCATGAATATGAATCTATTCAAGGCTGGGGTTTATTTTTAGTCATTTATCAGAACTGTAAATTTGTGAGACTCATACTTTTTAATTTTCATTTTTACATGTATTGTTTTTCTTCTTTTATTTGTATCTGTTTATCTATCTATCTATCTATCTATCTATCTATCTATCTATCTATCTATCTATCTGTCTGTTTAGCTTCATGCTTATTTTTTTTATCCTTTGGAGACAATTTTTCAGAGCCCTCTATGGAATTATCCAAACAGGTATGGACAAATTTCTAGTTCTGGTGAATTTTAAAACTTTGTTACCTTTTGCTATATAATCTATTCCACATTTATTTATCCAACCTGTATTTACTGACCACTGATGATACAAAGGTAAAGGTGTCCCTCCCTGCCACCAAGCAATAGTCGAGGGGTTGGGATGAGACAAAAAGCGAACCTGAAAAATTCAAGGAGACTTTATATCTAAATTAATGTGAAACTCAGCAATCAACTGTTCGTTAGAAAATGGGAGATGAAATCTCCATCTGGAGCAGTTTGGCCTCATCTCAGGCAGCCCTGGCCAGGAGCCCCTTGTTGTTCCTATCCCAGGATGCTGGGACTTTACTAGCTGTTGTTGGCTTTGATGGCATCTACTTGGGATTCATTGGTTTTCCAAGAGAAAGTGGCCCTCTTTCTCCCAGGAAAACCCTCCGTGCTTGTGGGGGAGAGCTTTTCCATAAAGATATTGGTCTGTGGCAAAGATAGCCCCATCCCTGGGGCTGGGATGGGAGGCCATAAAGTAACTAGTGGTGAGTGGCAATCTTTTCCTTCAAACAGGTACAAAAAGACCTGCTTGTTCTGGGGGAAAAATGGCCCCTCTATGGAAAAAAGACTGAGGGGCAGCTACTTGTAGTCAACAGTTGGAAAGATCCTTCCATGAAAAGGCCTTTCTTGGGAAAATATTAGCCTTGTCCTGTTGCCAAAGCAGTGGAGGCCAAGTTACCTGCCACAGGGGTGCCAGCCTCCTCCACCAGGCCTCCTTGATTTCTCAGAAATGACTACATTCATTGATTGTTCTGTCTAAACATGTTACTAGGGGAAACATCTACTGAGACATAAATGTCTCCAGGAACAAAAAGATGGGGATGTAGGTTAGCTAGTATAACCTCATTTATTTTGTGAGTTCTCTTGTTACCTGCTTGTATTTAATGCACAAGTTTATTCTCCTTGCAGTTTATGTATTAGAGGCTCTGAAATTGCATACGTATACATTTGGGCCCCAGAGCTCATGCTGTGTATTCAGAAGGCAATTGCTTGCCTTGCCTTCCACCACTGCATATTCAATTAGGTATTGCTGCCCAAGAGTGAGTTCCAGGCCTAGAGGAATGACTGCGTGTGAATTCTGTTTAGACTCAAACTATAGAACTCTTGGAAAACAGATTCTAACTGCAGTGGGACAGCTAGCTCATAAACCTTCGGCAAGTACTCTGTGTTCTTCCCATTTCTTATGGTTGGGAACAAGTCTTTTCCTGGGCAGGTGGATAAGCTGAATACACATCAAGTTGCCTGACCCATGTGTTTGGCTTCAGTTTCATATTAAAAATCCCTTTTCCTTTGAGAAAGTTGACAGTAAGAGCTGTACTTTTAAATTAGTAACATTATTAGTTTAAGTGTAGTATTTCTAATAACCCAGAGGTAGAAAATAGCCAATTCTTATAGTCAGAAAGGAACTTGGATAGTGATGTCTTTTTGATATGGGAAGAAGTATGTGAAATGTTTCTTACGTGTCACGTTTCTTACTGTTGTAAACTTCCTTTGTGCAGCTCTGGACCCATGTATGCTTGGCACACACCACTGCCAGCACGTGTGTGTCAGTGATGGGGAAGGCAAGCACCACTGTGAGTGTAGTCAAGGATATTCCTTAAATGCTGATAAGAAGACATGTTCAGGTGAGGCCTGCTCAAGGGAGGGTGGCCAACTAGAACTTATTTGGGGACCTAATCTCCAATTTTGGACTGACCTTACACTTTTCTTTTGACTGCTTTTTGGGTGGTTTACTGTAACTTGTCAATGATTTTCCTTGAAAAGGAATGAGGAGAAAAGTGAATAATATATAAATCAACCTATTATAGTACTAATTAGTTTTGGAGAAAAGGGTTCATAGGGAAAAGGCCTAATAAGGAAGGCAGCCAAAACCCTTGATGCGTTGGACGATTTGGATCTTTTCCTGGATTTTATTGAATTAAATACAAGCTATCGCTTTATCTATGTGACCATAGATGCTCCTGGGATCTAGACATAGAAGAACATTTAGAGAGATCCTCACTCATCTGGTATACAAATACTCACATAATAATTAATAAAGAATGGGAATTAGGTCCTTTTTTTTTAAATCCTAGAAAAAAGCTTTTGATCATTTAATTCAACCTGCTCATTTTATGGTTAATGCAATTGAGACCCAAAGAATGGAGAAGACTTAACCCATGTCAAGGGGTCTCTCAGTGAAAGAGCCAAGACCAGAAAGTCAGGTCCCACTCTCCATCCAGTAACCTTTCTCTTGTGCCACACTGTCCTGCCCATTTCATTAGCAGTGTGTGTGTGTGTGTGTGTGTGTGTGTGCAGGATGCCCATATTTATTTCTCATTTTCCATGTGTTCACATTTGTTCTTGTCACCTGTTGATAGCTATCGATAAGTGCGCTCTTAACACTCATGGATGTGAGCACATGTGCGTGAACGACAGGACTGGCTCTTATCACTGTGAGTGCTACGAAGGTTATACCTTGAATGCTGACAGGAAAACGTGTTCAGGTAAATTGCTAGGTACTATTGCTACCTAGCTAGTGTTGGAGGGGGTAGGTCACCTGAAGAGGAACTTGGTTTCTTTTCTTCTCTTGCTAGCTTTAGGCTTTTCCCTAAGTAAGAAAAGTTAAAAAGTCTTATTAGAAATGTTAGAAATGGCAGCAAGTCTGTATCGCTGCCCGCATGGGTGCATGTGTTGTTCATTTCCCTCTCCTTACCCAGCCCTAACAATGTAACCCAAATGCTAAGGACAATTTAGTAAGTTAAAATCAAGTAACATCCCACAACTACTTCTTACTTACCAAGGGAAAAACAGTAACTTCATAGTGGAGAAGCCCGGCAGACATCCTTTTAACCAAGGGACCCAAATAAACATCAGCAGTAATGCCGTAGAGTGGTGCCATGCATCTCCTGACACTGTGTACTGAGGACACAGAGGCACTTCTGTGGTATTCTTGCTAAAAATTCAGAAATGTGAGGAAACATCAGACAAACCCAAACTGAGAGACATGCTAAAAAATAATTTTCCAATACTCTCCTATGTCAGAGTCATGAAAGACAACGAATGACTGAGGAAATGTCCCACATTAGAGGTGACAAAGGAGACATGACAATTTAATGCAATGTGTGATCCTGGATTGGATCGTGGGCCAGGGAAAGGACATTAGTGGTGGAAAAAATGGTAAAATTTCAATAAGATCTGTAGATTAGTTAATAATATTATATCAGTGTTAATTTCTTGGTTTTGATAGGATGTTAACATCTGGGGAAACAAATGGGTGAAGTACAAGACATTTTGTATTATTTTGCAACTTTTTCATAAGCCTAAAATGATTTCAAAATGAGAAGTGTGAAGATAAAAAAATAGCCTTAAAAATATCTCCATACAAAGAAAAGTGCATTGAGTGATAATTTGGGTCTTGAGTTCTGATGCTTCTCTGAGTCAGTTGGTTCCTCCCTGGGTCCAGCATCCTCATTTATTAGAGGAGAGGGTTGCCCTGCAATTTCCTCAGACTCTAATCCCATGTCTTTCTGACTCTAGTGTAATTAGCCACACAATTGCTGGTATCCCTCTGATTCAGCATAAATACAATAAGCCTAAAAGGAATGTTAGAATGTTTTAGAAAGTATTTATGAGATACTTAGATTATAAAAATCCAATATAGATGATTTTGAAAAAGAGTTGGGGAAAGTAGAAGAATAAATATTTGTGTGTAGGATTTTGTTTTACAGCTAAGTTCTAGTAAGAGCAAATAGCACTGATGGCTTTGAGAAGTTTCTAATAGGTTTTTCTCTTACATATACTTACATATACTAGCTGCAAATAAGAAGTTTGCTATTTATGGGTAATGAAAGACTTTTCCACTTTTAATTTTTTTTCTCTTGGACTTACGTTTGGCAGCTCAAGACACATGTGCTCTTGGTACACACGGCTGTCAACACATTTGTGTCAATGACAGAGCTGGGTCCCATCACTGTGAATGCTATGAAGGGTACACTCTGAATGCAGATAATAAAACCTGTTCAGGTAAGGTCCACTCAACAAATTCCTTCATACTTGGCTCTTCCTACTGCAGCAAAACCACTTTGACATTCACAAGGAGAGAGATCCTCAAACGAAATTTAAAGACTCAGGCTTTGGACATTCTACTATGCTTATAGACCGAAGCACACATTGCTCAGAGGGCAGTGAGCTCACTAGATTTTGCAAACATAGCTCACTTCAGAAAATTACTGGGAAATGGGCAGGGAGTGGGGGAGATGAGGAAAGCTAATTTCATGTAGGATCCTTATCCAGGAAAATTTTATAGCTCTGTACACTGGGGACTTGTAAAACAAATAGGAAACTTTAGAGAAAGTCAGTTGGACAGTGACTATTTGGTGTGATAGGCTGAACTGATCTTTTTCCAATTAAAACTTGGCCTGGAACTTTTCTGTAGCGTTCATCTTAAAGCTGGATCATTTTTGTAAAGGAGACTTTGTAAATGACTGAATTAGACCCATACAGATCTTCCAGTAAGTCTAAAACAAGTTGTTCCCTGAAAGTTTCTAGATGATCAATCTTGGGTGAATCTGAGCCTTATGACTTGGCTAATGAGCCCATGTCAGCACTGCTAATCTTCATTAATTTGATTTAAACTCACCGGCAGAATATAAAACCACTCCTAAGAGAAATTACTGCCTCTCAAGGTAGTGTTTAGTTGTAACATACTCAATATTTTCTTAGATTATATATTCTTTCTCTTCTCCTTTGAGGAGATATATTATGTGACGTTTTCAAGAGCAATTAAGGGAAATGGCATATCACCAATTCCATTTTTAAAAATAATGAAATCACTTAAGAGTACTGAGCACTTGTTTTATTCCCAGGACTCTGCAAACCACTGTGGGGTTTTAAAGAAGCATACTGTCTGCTTCTCAGCAGCTCACAGGCTGCATGTAAAGAGAACCAACCCCTTAACAAAGCAGAGACTAAGCAGTCAGGGAGAGATTCCGACAGTAACCAAGGGCGGGGGAGGTGGGAGTTTTGGGGAAGGACCCAGTGAGGTGAGACAGGAGGTGGACCTTGGAGGCTAGAGTGTGGAGAGTCCAGTTGGCAGGGGCAGTGGCTTGTGCTGATTTGTTCACGGGGTAGGATGAAGTCAGTTGGGGTAGAGAGGACTCGTGCCTGCACTTCTCAAATTGGTTACAAATATCCCACTTAGTACTTTAAGCTGCCAGGAACATTGAAGACCTTGTGGAAGGAAACAAAAACACATTTACAGTTAAACTAAAAGATATTATGGAGTAAAATGGGACATTTTATTTAAAAAAAATCAAAGAAAATTTTCTATTAAGGCAGAATATTCCTGGCAATACTCCCAGGTAACAACAGCCAACATTCTTTAGTGCCTTCTGTATGCCATACATGGTTCTAGGTATTTTAGACATGGTCACACATTTAATGCTCACAGCAACTTTATGAGGAAACTGAGGCACAGACCGATTAAATAGCTTGCCCCTGGTCACTCAGCTAGTAAGTGACAGAATGAGGATTTGAACTCAGGCACTTGCTCTGGTGATTTACACACAACCAAACACAGTACAGGATAAAAAAGGGAGAGAGAAAAGAAAGACGAGATAGTGGAATGCTGATATTTATATATCTTAAAGTAACTGGTTATTGTTCTAAAGCTGGGGTACATAACAAGGGTCAGATCCCCTCCAATGGTCTGCTTTCCCTTTGTTGGGCAGTATTAAGGCTCGTAGACCAAATGTGGAGCCCCAGATCAGGGGCCACTGGTGGAGACATATCCATTTGTTATCCCTAAAGCAGCTGCTAAGTTGGATGCGGGGAAAAATGAGTTGCTCCGCTATTAGGCATTTTGCTGGAAAAATCTGAGCCGTAGTAATGAAGGGAATATCAGTGCTGAAGTTGGAAAGATACCATGTGGATGGATTATGTAGGGCCTTGCATTTCACTTAAAGCTTTTTTATAGGTAATGGTGGGCCATGGAACATTTTTGAGCACGGAATGATCCTTACAAGGAGAATATATAAACTAGCTTGACTTTTACAATGGCAGAGGAAGAAACTGTGTCTCCCAGGAAGCCTTCCTGGGTTTCATAAAGAACTGCTGCTTTCCTATGTCGCAGGCCAGGTTGGACATGGGACTAGTATAGCACGGTTTTCTGCGCCCCACTCAAATTTGGGCAAACTGTCTTCCTCCATGTAATGTGTTCACTTGTAAGAAATAATAAGTACTTCACTATTCAGCCATATGCTGTGTGTGTGTGCACACAGGTCAATGTTTTTGCTGCACTTCGTAAGCTATCAAGGGCAGGCTGTCAGTCAATATAATCCTCTTTCTGCAGTGTAAAAGTTTAGCTCTATGTCCAAGTAGGTCCCTGATAAGTTATTTTTGGTGATGGCGAAGATGATCTATGTATAGCTGGAGATGTTGGAGGCATTTGTGGTCATCAGGAATGGCTGAAGGTAAGTTCTGGAATATAATCAGGAATGAGTGCAGTGGCAGTGCTGTGGGTAGGAAAAATGACAAGGCACCCCCAGATACCTGCGAGAAATAAAAAGGAAAGGGCTGTATGCACAAAAGGGGAGGCTAAAGAGGTGTGAGATACCATATGATGGAAAAGGAAAGCAGGCTGGAGCCTTACTGCAGTGACAAAAGGATTCGTCGTTGGCACTTTTTGGGACAAAAGTTCTCTCCCAGAATCTGTGTTTAGTTTTCCGCTGTAATTGGTGGATATTTTCTTTCCTGCCGCACTTCTGGTCAGTTCGTAACAAGTGTACCCTGGGCTCTCACGGCTGCCAGCACATTTGTGTGAGTGATGGGGCAGCGTCCTACCACTGTGATTGTTACCCTGGCTATACCTTGAATGAAGACAAGAAGACATGTTCAGGTAAAGACATGCCTCTTTCAGCCTATTTGGTTTGGTAGGACAACTTCCTGGGAGTCCGCTTTCCTCTGAGTCTTTTTCCCGGTGAGGCCCACCTGTGGTTCCCAGCTGTCTTCAGAGTGAAACAGTGCTATCCTCCCCCAGGCAGTCTTCTGTCCACAATCGGATTCCATCCTCCTTTTCATATTAAAAGTATCTCTCTATCTAAGTCAGACTGTTTGGTTGTTGTAAAATACACACAATGTACCATTTAGTATTTTATCCACCTAAAGTGTATAATTCAGTGGTGTTAAGTACATTCACACTTGTGCAGCCATCCCACAATCTGTCTCCAGTGTTTTCATCATCCCAAACTAAAGCTCTGTATGCATTAAACAGTAGCTCCCATTCCCCTCTCTCCACACCCCTGGGAGCCACTGTTCTTCATCCTGTCACTCCATCTGCCCCCAGATTCACTCCTCCTCTCCAATCTTGTGGTCCAGCCATATGGGCTTCTTGATATTCCAGGAGCGTGCCCTGCACTTACATGTCTCCATCCTCTGCTTAATGAGGGCACAACATCACAAAAAGATTGTCTATTCTCTGCATATTTGGCTTCCCCCTTTATATCATGGAAAATTCCAGACAATCACAAAAGTCGAGAGGACAATATAATGAACTCTCATATAACCATCATTTAGCTTTGAGAACTGAAACTTTTCCCCCATCTCCTAACTCAATTTCTTCTATGATGTTAACATTCCAAAGCATTTTCTCCTCTTTCTGTATGCTTCTATGCCCTTTTACCTTCAGTAAATGCATTTAGGTATATTAAAAATGGAAGTATTGCATCGTAGATTCCTTCATTTGCAATGATTTCTAATTAGCTATAACATTTTGTGTATTGTCAGCCATTGAAGAAGCACGAAGACTCATCTCTACAGAAGATGTTTGTGGATGTGGAGCCACACTGGCATTCCAAGATAAGGTCAGCTCATATCTGCGGAGACTGAACACCAAACATATCCTTTCTGGAAGATTTTCTGCTTTTGCTTGAAGCCAACGTATGGTTACATGTAAAAGCTGCCTGTTTCTTTCTCTAGTTTTTTTCTGTAGTGGTATGTGTTCCTAATTGAACTCTTATGAACAGATGGAGCTATTGTACTATGATCCTTAGTATGTATGGCTTTCTTAGTTCAGAATCTGTACCCGTACCAAAGGAGTCACTGGTTAATGGGATGTGATAGCTCAGAGGGGTGATACTCACACACTTTGGCTAGCCAAGCGGTCGGTCACAAAGCAGATTTCAAAACATAACATGGTACCATCTCAGGACCTTTCAAAATCAGTTCTTTAGCTAAAGGAGTAATTCAAGAAAAGTACTTAGCGTAGCTCAAGTTAACACTGTTCCTAGGGATCTTAGAGAGTGGCAGTCAAATTTTAATAGGATACCCTAAGGGTGTGGTGTACTTTATGCCCAGACTTTCAAGGGGAATTGAGGGGTTGGACAGAAAGTTTTAAAGGAATAAATTTCTAAATCCTTCACTTCCTTAAATTGATCTGCCTAAAATGCTACTTGGGGTCAGTTGGCATTCTCTTTTCCCATCTCATTTCAGTATCACCATTGTTCTGACTTCACAAGAAAGGTATGCCTCTCATTTAGTCTGAATCTTTTGAGGTGAATTTCTTGGAAAAGCAAAATCTCCAGAGAGCCAAACCAAGGGACAACTCAACGGTTTTTCAAATCAAGGCTTCATAAACTCTGTTCCTCCATTCATTCCATTAAGAGATATATTTCCAATTAAATTTCACCTTTTATTTTTAATGATCTTACATCAAAACTTGTAACCTATTTGGGTCAATTATGTGCTCATAATAGCAGAAGTGGTAACTCAATCCAGATTAAAAAAATGTAGGGCCTTGTGGTCAAAGAAAATTAGTTTAAAGGTAATTTCAATATACATGTGCATGTATTTGTTGTTTGTATAAGTTTACTTCACAGAGGATAATAGTGTGATCAAGAAAAGATTTCCAGTAAGTTTGTATGGAGACAGAGGGTAACTAGACTAGCTGTGGGGATCATTTCAAAATGCATAAAAATACTGAATCACTATGATGTACACCTGAAACTAATAGGCTATCGCATGTCATTTATACTTCATTAAAAAAAGATTTCCAAGATTCAGAGTAGAATAAAATTCTGTGGAGAATGCAGAAAGGAATACAAATTCAAGGAAATTCCTTTATTTTAAATATTTTACTTTAGAAGAATGATAGTAGGTATCAATTCAGTATGGTATTAATATTACATGGGATACATTTGAAAGATGGATTTAAACTTTATTTTAAAGAGTCAATATTTATAACAGCCAGCAGAAATAGCATTTGTAACTAAAACATGATGAAGATTTTCATGTAATTTAAATACACACAAGACATCACTTATTTGTAAAAATTATGTTAGGGGATATAAGAGCAGAGATATTTGAAGACTACTGCTCTATATCATACCTATAAAGAATAGGATTTGAGTTTTAGATTAAATTGGGATTTTGGTGAGAAACAATTTCATTCTTTTTCTTTACAGAACATTGTGTTCTTTTACTTTACAATGAAGTGTCTGAAAGTGTGTTTACATTTTCTAATGTCTAAAAATAAAATGTTGGCCTTAACAACTAGCTACTTGATGACATTCTGGAGAAGCTGCAAGCAAATGAACATGGACAAATACATCGTTAAATTGTCCAAATTTTTCACCTGGAAATATGGAGGGCGTGGTGTGCTTTATACTTTTGCATATTCCAATGTTCCAGCAAATAATTTGCTGTGACAAATGCTTGACTATTACTGGATAAGTAGTATAAGGATCTTCTAGAGAATCAATACAATTTTTTAAAGGAAACAAATGTCCAGATCCTTTTTAAGAGCAAACTTTACTGTCTCTAAGCTAAGACTGTGAAATTATTGGTAGGAAATAGAATGAAGTTTGTTATTCCTTCATTTACTAATTGAGCCATTTAATTTTTAAATGTTTATGTTAGCAAGATAACCATACTTACAATGGGAATTTTTGACCTATTTTCTTTTGAAAGTATTTATAGTATAAACCAGTCTTATTACTGAGAGTATAAATTATACAAAGTACACATAAAAAAGTTCATATAATTGAGGTGACTATAATTTAGAACTGTTTAACACTTCTTATTTTTTGCTAGATTATTACCGAAGCTGTGGTCAGAGGATTGTAATACACATATCTAAAAATAATTAACACAGATCAAGTGAATATTACATGCCATTTAAAGACTTCAGTTGTGAATTAAGTGTTATAACTTTTTATTAAGGGCAAAAAACCCAAAATTTATTTTACCTTAGGATCGAATCAAACTGCTGTAACAAGTAGCAAAACCTAATGTTCTCTTTAAATGTTTGTGATAAGCCTATTTTTCACTTACATGATTTGACACGTAAAATTTTTCTCAGCTTTAAAGCTTATAACTTTTAGAGAAAAGTCCTTTAAATTGTGTACTATTCAATTCTTTTTTGGTTTATATTGTCTTTAATATAATAAAAAGATTATCTTTACATGTCATTATTGTACCTTTTTTGGTGACTCATCTCAATTTTGTCTACTAACATCTTTCCTTAAATTAAACTAAGTTAACAATTATTTTGGATACAGAATAGTTTTTTGTCAAAGAAAACAATATTGGGACTTTTCCTATAATTTAACCTCATGCTCTTATGGTTAAAAAATATAGGTTCAGGTTAAATAGAATGGCTTTGACCACGAATGTTGTGGGAGAGAACTAAAGCAAAATTATCTCAATTTAGATAAAACAATGATAAGGGTACATTAATATTTGTGCCTGAAAAGTAAATATAACCTACAGATGTAAACCCAGAAACAGTGAAAAAATCTAAAATACAAACTTTAGGGGAAGAAATGAAACATACATAAATCAAGGCAGTATATACCATATGAAACACATGCGGTCATTTCTCAACATCTTTGAAAGGACACGACATAGAGCAGGATTTTCCCAACTTACCTGAGCACAGAATCAGTACTTTATCACAAAGAAATAATGCTATACAGGAAATAAATGAGCGTATGTGCAAGAACTAGGGAAAGGTATTTAAAGAGACATGATTTCTCAAGAGTGTGGTCATTAGTAATTTCCTTTAATCATATATTCAAGTTGAACAATTGATTGGAATTCTCTGGCTTAAAAAATATTGATTTGTTGCACAAGTAAGTATAGGGAGCCTGTAAACAGGTGCCAACATATCTTAGGAATTTGGTTTGGTGCTGAAACAAGATACACATACATTTCAAAACAAACATATTATCTAACTAGAACAGGGATGAAATTTGGAAAAAATTTTTCAGGAAGAACCAATTTGTGCATCTGGATAGGCACAATTAGTCAAGAGGGTAGGAACAGAACAGAATATGGCCTTGGAAGCCAAGAGGAAGGGTGGGATGCAGAAAGCCTATTGACTTGCTTACAGTGGGGACACCATCCTAACGACGTTTTGGGATTGAAGGAAGATCTGATTTTAGTTGCGGTTTAGATTTGATGGGAAAGACACTGAGATCATACTGTCAATTCTTGAGTGTTCTGGGTGAGGCAATAATATACTCAGTTCAAAGGATCTTAACGTTTATTTGCCTGAGATGGAGAGACTCCGGGTAGGGAAATTAACTACTGCTGCATAAAATACCTCCGATTATACAAATTGCCAGTGGTAGGGTGTAGAATACGGTAAAAGGGAAAACCAGAGATAAAAATGTGAGACTTATTTTCATGGGAGTTTCTGCCCTAAAAATTGTGATTTGTGACCCTGCAGGCACTCAAAAACGGCAAAGGGGAACTGAAGAAAGAAATAAGGTAGAAAAGAGAATACAGAACAGTTGACCCAGGCGATGTAATACTAAACACCTCAATTATTTAAAGATGGAAGGCTATGCCCCAACAGCAATTATATACTGTAATATTCCAAAGCTCATACATATTCTTTCCATAAGGACCCTTAGGCTGCAGTAACAGCTTAAATAAACAGTTAAAAAGTTCTAAAAGCAGTAGCATAAACATGATTTCCTACACCCACACTGCTCCGGAGGGTTCTCTAATCCCTAAAGGCGCCAGGGACGGCTTGCACGGCCTGAAATAGCCCTTCGGCTCTTCCATTCGGCCAACGGCGCGAGCCTACTAATACGGTAAATGCCTTTTCCTTTCAACATTGTTGGCACTTTGGGTCTTACAAAACACACAATTCTGTAAATTAGTTCCATGAACGCCCTTCCTCCTGAGTTCCGCCGCGACCGTCCGAGGGGTGGCTTGGCCCTCGCTCGGACGGTGGATGGCTGAGGCGATGAGGCAGGGCGCCGAGGGTCGCCGACCCTGCTCCTAGTGTAGAACAGAAAGGTCCAGAATGAAAGCACCCAACCCCAACCACGGGTTTGACCCCGCAGCAAGGTTCGTAGGAGACCTTCGACGTCTGCGCAGGCGCATGACGCCCCGTTGAACAAGGGCGACGCCGGAAGTGTCCCTCGGCGCCCCGGAAGCGACCAGGCGGCGGCGGTTGTCAGGGCGACGGGAGCTTGCAAGAGCTGCTGGTACTCGCGATTGGAGACTTAGAACAAGTTTCTCTTTGCGGGCCTTGACTTCTGGGGTCGTCTTCTTGGGGTCCTCAGGATGTTCTTTTACCTGAGTAAGAAAGTGAGTTTGCCGCGGGACTTCCTTGCTCCTTCTCTGTTCTCGCGTCCTGCGGGCAATTCCCGCATCCTGCGGGCGAAGCCCGGCGTTCTCACCGCCGCTTCCCCATCCAGTCTCCAACCTTCTTTCCTCGGCAAGACCCTCCTCTTGCCGGTCCCCAAGTTCTAGATACGAGCCCCAGATGGTCCTTGGCGGAGCCAGCATCGCCCTCGCACAACCCTTCATTCTTGCCCCTGGCCAGGTCCTTGTGGGGGAACAGTAGAACAGGTCACAGCGAGCTTACCTATCGTTCCTCCTCCATCTGTTGTTGATCCCGATGACCAAAATTCTTTGGATCATCACGGGGCGCCGGGCAAGAAAAGAGTAACAAAAGGGTAGCTTAAGTGTGCTGTGTGGAAAGGGACTATGGACTATCCCTCCGTTCCCCGCTGCCTCCTTTAAAAATTCATCAGGTGATTCCCCCGTCCTCCGTCGACATCGCCCTTAACTTGGGTGCACTAATTAATTTTTTTCCTACATGGTAGGGCTTGGGGCAGTTCAAGAGCTATGCTGTTTTCATAACTGCTCATACTTCTGCCAGGCTGACCGTTTTTCTTCGTGGGGGGGATTACTTCAGCCTTTATCTCCTGTAGACTCACTTTCCAACTTCTTTGTGAAAAGTTGTAAGAGTAGCTATGGTTGCTTTTCAGATAGCCATTCCTGATAACGTGAAGCTGAAATGTGTATCTTGGAACAAGAACCCAGGATTCATAGCATGTGGTGGTGAAGACGGACTACTGAAAGTTTTGAAATTAGAGACACAGACAGGTAAATGGATGCAATCTCAAATGTCTGAACTTGATGGAAGATTGGCTGGTATCACGTGTCCAGTGAGATTTGCTCAAGATTGTTTTTCCGTACGCAATTCTAATTCTTTTAAAAGGAAAAAAACACCCACAAAACACCCAAACATTTTGTGATGTTTTTCTACAATATTTTGCAATAAGTTTAGGGAATATTGAATGTAAGCATCACATGGCTTTTGCTAAAGTCATTGATGGAAAATTAAAAAGAATGAATAATGAAAATGAAGTCATTATATTGTGCTATGTCTATTATGTTATATTATTAGGAGTCTACTAAAAATAATGCAAATCAGCATTTCAGTAAGGTCACTCTGAATGTCAGATTATTCACATTTTGTCATGTTTTGTCAGATTGCTATAGGCTGTATCATCTTTTCTGCTTATCAGATGTGTTATTAATTATGTACCTAATTACCAAGAACAAAAAATGGGATTTTAAAAAGCATTTTTGTTAATAAGTCTCTTGTGTTTATAGCTTGACTGCATTTTTTCTAGCTCCCTGGAATCATAGAAAAAGTTTCACACTTTATTATCATCCCTAGTATTGCTCTAGATTGAGATCTAGACAATTTCCAACCTAAATTGGACATCTAGATAAGGAGATTGGAATTGGAACCTCAGCTCTGCCGTAAGATTACTGAATGACTTCCAGCAAGTTACTGAATATCTTCGGGCTTTAGTTATTTTGTAAGATTAGGAGTTGAACTAAATTTTGGATTCCTTAGAGTTATGCTTCTCAAACTTTATCAGCCATGAGAATTATCTGAAGAGGTTGTTCAAATGGATTTGTGGGCTCTACCCCAGAATAGATCTAGAATGAAGTCAGAATTTGCATTTCTAATGACACTGGTTTTGCTGGTCCTCAGACTACATTTTGAGTGGCACTGCTGTGTATATTTATAAACATTTATTGAGCACTTTTCATGTATGGGTGTTTAACCTTCACTGTCTCATTTGATTTCACAATAATCTTGAGAGGTAGGTATTCCAGATGCAAAAACTGAGGTGCTAAACAGTAACTTGCTCAAGGTCACACAACCAGGAAGTGACAGAATCGGCATTTGTCACTTTCAAGCCCTTGTTTTTAGCACTACACTAGGGGCTCATGGGCAGCCTAAGCAAAGAGAGAGTTGTTCTGATGTGCTACATTAATTATGTGAAATAAAAGGCAGGTTTGGAAGGTAGATACTTACGTACCCATTGGAGTTTGGCTTCTGATGTTAGTAATTTAATCTCTCAATGCTTTAGCTTTCTTAATTGTTAAAAGAAAATAATTTTTCTCTTGGTTATGTGTACATATATGTATATGTTTGTATGTGTATGTCTATATACACATTTTTTATTTTGCTTAAAATATATAGCAATTTTAACCTACATTAAGAAATGCATTCATTATGTTTAACATTGGAGACTTTTCAAGAAAAAGAATTACTTCTTGTCATGCTGTGTACTTTTGATAAAGTGTGATTGGAATATTCTTTGAAATTAGTGAGCAAGATGGAAAGTAGATTCTTGAGAGGTTTGGCAAATGGAATAGATTATTTGTTTTGGAACTTAATAACCATGTTGAAAGAGATAAATATGAGGAATATGGCTGGGAGATTCTAACAAGGTCAGTGTATTATATCTAATAATAATAGTTTTGATGCAGCAGATACTTCCAGTAACAATCACCAGATACTGTATGCCTACTACATATCAAGTACTATGCTGTGCTAAAGGTGTGACATTACAAGTGCCGTTTTGAAGCCTAACTACAGAATAGCCACGTTACTATCATTCATCGGTATAATACAATACCTCACATCAACTAAATGTCTTCTGTGACATCCTTTTTTTTTTTTTTGGTATTATTAATCTACAATCACATGAGGAACATTATGTTTACTAGACTCCCCCCTTCACGAAGTCCCCCCCACATACCCCATTAGTCACTGTATGACATCCTTTTTAATGGCTGTTTTATATTCCATTGTATTGGTTTCAGACAAGTTCTAGTGTTGGACATTTTTAGATGTCTCCACATTTTTACCATTAAAATATTATCTTTGTATCTAAATCTTTCCAGGAACCTTTAATATTTTCTAGGATAAATTTCTAGAAATGGAATATGCTAGATTAAATGTCATGTGTGTGCATCTCAGAAAAGGTTCTCAATCTGTTTAACCAGTTTACCTTCCAGAAAGTTTGCACTATTTTTCATTCCCAGTGGCAGCAGTCTCAGTTCTCACTCTCTTGCCTCAGAAGGAAAGGAACTAGAATTAGGTTAAGATGGGGAGCTGGGTAACTTTTCTTCTCTACAGGCCAAGTTAACATGCTTTCCTGGAGACCATCTCCTGCTCTCTTCTCGGGGACCTGATTACTAATTTATCCTTAGGGCCTTTGCACTCACTGTTTCCTATTCTGGAATACTACCCCCTTCCCTGCTTCACTTAGCTAACTCCAGTTTATCCCTTGGTTTTAGCTTTCATACCACTTTTTCAGAAAGCCTTCCCTGGTTCCTTTTCCCTTCAATCTAAATCAATCCCCTGTTACTGTCTCTTATTATGTCTTTTCTTCCCTATTTTATATGCATATATATATATTTATGTGAGTGTGTGAGTATGTATCTAATATCTGTCCTCTCAGTAGACTACCAGCTCTGAGGGGAGAGGCCTTAACTATCTTGTTCATTTTATATCCAGAAGCTTCTACAGTGCATAACAGTGTAGACAGTCTTTACCTATTTGTTGAATGAATTAAGATTCTGCAAAATCTAGTAAGAACCAGTTTCTGAAATCTTTTTTTTTTTTTTT